CTGTCATGATGTTAACTTTCTCTTTTTAAAGTAACATAGAAATGATAAAATTCATGGCAGCTTCTAGTGAACATACTTATCTCTAAGAGGTCTTTGGGCCCAGAAGAAGTAATATTTCTGTCAAGGCTGACATGCCACGGCTGGAGAAGGGTATAGCTCTTTGTCAGATTCTAACATTATCTCTTCAAATTGACTGTAATTTTTGAGAATTTATTTAATACAAATAATATTTATTAAAATTGCTCAATTTTATTTTATTAAGAGACAAATTTTTCCCCCTTTTAGACCAAACTGCTAAAACACATCATAAGTTTTTGTTTTATTTGTTTATTTGGGGTCATAGTCTATATCATAATAAAATTGGATTTCAGGGTTGATTTCTGGGGTGAAGACTGATTTTGGGGAAGAAACCCATCCTAGGTAGAATAATAATGATTCCTAGTGAGGATGATCGCTAGTCACATGATATATACACATAGATAGGAGATATATACAGTCGACCCTTGAACAACACAGGTTTGAACTGCACGGGTCCACTTATATGTGGATTCATTTTAATAGTGAATACTACAGTACTACACGATCCGTGTTGGTTGAATCTATGGACATTGGATGTTGGATACAGAGGGACTGCAGATACGGATGAACCATGTATACGGAGGGCCCACTATAAATTATACATGGATTATTTTCAACTACACAAAGGGTCGGCGCCCCCAACCCAGTTGTTGTTCAAGGGTCAACTGTGATTCACTTTGTGATCTTTCTTTTCCTGTAATGCCTTAACCAAAATAACAGTATTAATGTTAGGTTTTCATATTTAATATGAGTAAAAGTACTATTCAGAGCTAAACTGAAATAGGGAGAACACTTTCTATTCTTTAACTTGCTGGATTTCAGCTGTCACATCAGGCTTTCCTCATTTACCAGCTCCGGGCCCATTTACTTCCCTCACTTGCTTTATGTCACTTGGTACTGAAAATCCCATTCAGTCTTTAGCTTCCACAGCCTCTTCTTAAGTAACAACTTAAGGCTCAGAGAGAGGTTGAGCCTCTAGATGGGGAATGTGATTATTTATGCTAATTGGATCACGATCACTGGAGTGACCAGCTGGCCTCAGCCATTCATCCATCTTTGAACTCACCATGATGATCAAAGGTTTTGCATAAAAAAATTAAAAGAATACATATTAACTAATCTCTAGCATTTACAGATTATGTAATTAGTGCCAGAAAGGGCCAAGACCAGATTTCATATTATTCAAGACTAATCAGAATTCTTCCCTCCATTCTGAACTGCTTTTACAAAGACCAATTTTTAGACTTCATAGTCTCCAGGCCTACATACCTGTGGACCCCCTGCTATAGCTCCTACTCTGAGCCCATCCACCCTTCTTGGGCAAAGGGACGAGCTGGGAGAGCAATGTGAAATAGATGCTACCTCGATGGCTCTGTCCTAGGTTGAAATTCACTGTTGCCATTCACAGAGAGTGTGTTCCTTTATCTTATTGTGCATCAGCTTCCCCGCCTATAAAACTGGGATGATAAAGGTAGCTGTGAGAATTAATCAAATGTCACAAGTGCACTTAGAACTGTTCTAAACATGTAGGAAAGACTCAAATATGGTAGCTATAGCTAAACACTTTATACAAGGGGTCAGGAAAGTTACAATTTATGGTTCTTTCCATAAAGACCTTCTTGACCTTCTCTGGTCGAATTTGACTACCTGATATAATGGGGAAACCCGGACAAGGAGAAGACCTAGATTTTAGTCCTGGCTTGACATGAGCAAACCATATGATTTAGAGAAAAATCTCTTTACCTGAACTTCAGTTTCCTCTTCTATGAAATGAGGATGTCCATTCGTTCTTTCATTAGCAAGTATTTATTGAAGGCCTTCCCTGCACGAGGTTCTGTGCTGGACATGGGGGATTCAAAGTTGTACAAAAGTAGATACTGTCGTTACCCTTGAAGACTTATGGTCTAGTCACTGGGTGATCTTAGAGGTCCCTCTCACTGTCAGTATTCTATAATTATGGATTTCATTGCCTATTAAATGTTTATTACAAAAGGCTTAAGCAAGAGCGAGGGTATTTACTGGTCTTCTCACTTTTCTTCTCAATACCTAGAAGAATGTCTGGCACATTGCAGGTGTTCGATACCAATTTATAGAACAATTAAATGAATAAATAATTATATTTCAAACACTTCAAAGCATTTGAGAGAAAGAAGCATTTGAGAGAAAGAATATGTAGATATTGAAGCTCTTTTAAAAAGGAACAGATAGCAATGACTTCCTGTCACAATAAACAGATGCATGTCAAGTTTCACTGTTTCTTCTGGGCCTAGGCAAAGAATGACAAGAGAAAGTGGGGGAATTTGGAAGGATTTAACCTGATTCCACTCCAGAAGTGGACAGAAACTGTGGCTATTTAAAATAACCTGGCTCTTTTTTTCCTTCTTTTTCTCCTTTTGAATTGTGTTCCCTTATTTCACAAATATACCTCTGTTCTCACCTTAACCAGCCTGATTTCACCTTTTCTCTTGAGTTTCCTAATCTCCTTCAAATCATACATAATAGCTCCCAAGTTTTTATTTTAGTAAGAGACGTTTGAAGTCTTCTCTTGCTCCTGTAGCTAATCCCTCTGTGTTCTCCTAGACAGTTTAAATCAATATTCTGTTTCTTTTGCAGTTTGAAGAGGGCACTAAATATGTGGTTTCTTGGAACCGGTAAAGATGATAAATCACTGTGGGCATACCTGTAGTCTCCAAAATTTGGGCATAGCTAGGGAACTAAATAAATTATCTGAAAGAATTGAAAATTACTATAAAAAGATCTAACAAATATGGAAGCTTTCTTCTGATAGAAAATTAAATGATCCATTAGCGCACCAAAGTTCTATAATACATGAGGAACATTGCTGGTACATAGAGTATTATGAAGATAAGAACTGAGTTAGTTTCACCCAAAAATTTTTGTTGGAAAATGTGATCAGTGTGCTGGTTCTTCAAGAGTTAGTAATGATCACCTTGGAGGGATCTAGCCTTAAAAAATTCTTCATGAGTAGTAGTAGATAGCCTCACTAGGATAACTACATTTTGAAAGTAACTTACAGTCTGTTTCAAATCCCACAAAATAAATCAGACTTAAAAACTTTGGTCAAAAACAAGTCATTGTAAGATAAAATGACCTATCATAGTTACTACTTACCAGACCAGCCTCATTTGATTCTTAAAAAAACACATCTATTTTCAAAACGATAAGCATTTTCTGCTACTGAAGAGACTTAAAAGAATATTATTAGATAGGTGTCCAAAGAAGGAATTCCAAAAATTATATTTAGCAGCAGTGGTCTTGTTTGGATACAAATGTCCAGCTTTATCTGAATATAAATAAATAGCTGACTGATTTCAAAGAAACATACATTTTTATGAGCTCTTCTAATGATCTCCTAAAAGTTCCCCATTTCTCTAGTCTCAACATCTCTCAAGTCTTAGAAATACTTGTGTGAAAAATTGACCCTTGGCTGGCATCCAGGAACTTGAATTTTGAGAGTGTTCTCACCACTTCCTAGCTAAGAGTGTTCACTGTGCCTAAACTCTTTGCGCCAACAATGTGGTTTATGCTGGACATCTGTTTTCCTCCCGGGAGTCTGAATTTGGTACATGCTAGGTAGAGGGTGCCTACACAACCAGTCTCCAATAAAAACCCTGGACTTGTAAGCTCAGGTGAGCTTCCCTAGTCTATGACGTCTCACACATGTCACATTTCATTGCTGGAGGAATTAAGCACATCTTGTATGAGTCCATGAGGAGAGGACTCATGGAATCTTGTGGCTGGTTTCCTCCAAACTTCGCTCCATACGACTTTTCCCTTTGCTTTTTTTGGTTTTATATCCTTTCACTGTAGTAAATGGTAGCCATGAGTAGGACTATATGCTGAGTCTTGTGAGTCCTCCTAGCAAATCGCTGAATCTGGGGGGAGTCTTGGGGACCCTGATACAGGAGTTTAGTTTAATAACAGATGTGATGTCAAGGCAAATTCTCTTTCCATTAGCTGGCATACTAGTAAGCTGTCTGTAGTATGAAATCAGTTGACTGAGTTCTAGCAGGAAACCAGGCAGAAGAGTAATTAGAAAATCACCTCTTTCCTAAGGAAAAAAATGATCCTTTAAAAAGAAACAAAGTCTTTCTTATTAAGCAAAACACACTTGCCCTACGGATTAAGTGTACTCATTTGGAATGTTTTTGACTGCCAGAAACTAAAAACTACTACAGTGGCTTAAAGAAGTTAGTTATTTGTCTCACATTAATAAGAAAACGTCTGAGGAAAAGTGTCCAGGAGTAGTATGGTCGGTCACAAGTAGGTTTTTTTCTATCTTTCTGCTTCACCATTCTTAGTGTATAGTTTTTATCTTCATGGTCACAAGGTGACTGCTACACCACCAGGTAGTTTGATGTCACAGTCATCAGGAATAGGAGAAAGTAAAGAGCAAACACCTCCTCTGGAGCCTTCCCAGGGAAGGCTCCAAGGGGAGCTGAAAATGCAAGTATTTCACTTTCCAGCCTTTATAATACTAGAAATAAGGGGTGAGAGAGTTGGAATGGATGTTGAATGATCCACATAAAGTATCTGTCATGATAAGTCTGACATTAATGCAAAAGAAATACAAGATCGTTGTGGACCCGCCACGTGTGGATACCTTAACTGTAAGGCCGAGAGATTAAAGACCATGGTAGTTTCTCGTTAGTGAACTCCTCGCCCACGATATCACAGCTTTGTTCCTGAGCTCTTCCCTATGTGTCACTGAACAATTTCCTGGGGGTAAGCTCTTCTGAACCTGGAAATTACATTACTGAGATAGCAATAATCTCTTTTTATCTTAAATCTTTTATGAAGTGGTATGAACAGAAGAAATGCATTGCGCTATCATCTGAACAGATGAGACAAAATACTAACTCTGCTTCCCCCGCCCTAACCCCATCTGTTTTCTTCCTCAGAAGCTGTAGACGAAACCAAACCTAAGGAAAGTGCCCGGCAGGATGAGGGTAAAGAAGAACGCGAGGCGGACCAAGAACATGCCTGAACTTTAAGAAATGGCTTTCCACATCCCCACTCTCCCCTCTCCTGAACCCTGTCGCTCCTCACCCTCTTCTCAACTCCTCTCTGAAGTTTCCCCTCCTGTCCTACTCACGTCTGTGAGTCTGTACTCTCCCACCCACTAGCCCTCTTTCTCTCTGTGTGGCAAACATTTAAAAAAAAAAAAGCAGGAAAGATCCCAAGTCAAACAGTGTGGCTTAAACATTTTTTGTTTCTTGGTGTTGTTATGGCGAGTTTTTGGTAATGATGATCCAATCATTTTGGGAAATTCTTGCACTGTATCCAAGTTTTTTGATCTGGTGCGTGTGGCCCTGTGGGAGTCCACTTTCCTCTCTATCTCTCTCTGTTCCAAGTGTGTGTGCAATGTTCCGTTCATCTGAGGAGTCCAAAATATCGAGTGAATTCAAAACCATTTTTCTTTTCCTCCTTTTCAATGTGATGGAATGAACAAAAAGGAAAAAATTCAAAACCCAGTTTGTTTTGAAAATAAAGAAATAAAGCAAATGTGCCAATTAGCATTAACTTGCGGCTCTAAGGCTCCTTTTTCAATCTGAATATTAATAAACCATGAGAGTAATCAAACTCCCAGTGGCTCTGCGTTTCTGTTCCATCTTCTCATGAGTTGGTTTGACACACTGGGATTCTTACATTTTATCTTTGTTCTGGCCTCCCAGTCTGACGCCACCCACCCTGGCAAAGAAAAGATGGATGAAACCATAAGGCTTCAGTCAGAACCAATGGCGTAGGTCCTTGATGGGGCTCTTGGGCGCTATTTTATTTTGTAGGGCTGCTGTAACAAAGTACCACAGACTGGGTGGTTTAAACAACAACAGACATTTATTTGCTAACGGTCCTGGAGGCTTGAAGTCCAAAATCAAGGTGTTGGCAGGGTTGATTCCTTCTCAGAATTGTGAGGGAAGCATCTGTTCCAGGCCTCTCTCCTCAGCTTGTAAATGGCCATCTTCTTCCTACATCTCTTCACATCGTCTCTGGGTATCTCAATGGCCAGATTTCCCCTTTTTGCCATATTGGATTAGGGCCCACCCTAATGACCTCACCTTAACTTTATTACCTCTGTCAAATCCCTGTCTCCAAATAAGGTCTCATCTGAAGGTATTTGGGGTTAGGATTTCAACATGTGAATTGGGGGAGGAGGGGCGCAATTCAACCCATATCAGGCACTAAGACTTGCTTCTACTAAAATCACTTCAGCGTATTTTCATGACTCAGGAGAAGTATCCAATGGAAAGTTATTCTAGGTTTTGCTAAGTTAAATAATGTAAGACATGCATAACTCTTAGAAACCCCCAGGCTTTTGTTTAGATAATTTATTTTTAACACAAATATTGACATGGTCCATTTAATTTTTTTCAGTTTATTAACTTCTCTTAGACTTATCCCCACACAAGGCAGCTGACAGACTCTTGATTAGTCATAATCATTGTTCCTGCCAATGGTGATAGTATACAAAGAAAAGGTCTATATTTAGCACATCTATCCTTTTCAAATTTCCTTCCAGTTTCTGTTTTCTAATACCCTCTACCAGAAGGTAAACAGTTCCCATGAGAAACAAAACAATGTCCCTAAATCTTGAAGCATCTGATGGTGTTCTTTCTCCCTCTAAATTTCCTAAGTCAATCCTGGTACAAATTCTTAACATGTCATACTCTGCCCTGACCCTGATTCTCATAGACAAGCATTGCCAATGGACTCCCTTAAGCTTTCTGCATTCATCTGCACATAATTTCCCAAAAAGGAAGAGAAAATTGTGTCAAAGCCTTCAAAATAATGAAGGTCATGGAAATAAGTGATCTTAGGAGATACAACCTACACCTTGGTAACTCTGCTCAGCTTTGTGTGGAGCTGGTGCCCAGTTAATGCTTTGAAGAAAGCTGTTGTCACATGAAAGATGAGTCCTTACTGAATCAAGGGGTTTTTCCTCATCACTGACACTAAGTGGAAGAAGAAATCACAAGGAAAAAGGTCTATAAGGAAAAGCATAAAAAGGTCAAAAGGAAAGCATCAATAACATATTAAAACAATTAAAGAGTTTTGAATTTATTCTGAGTTGGTATGATTTCCACAGAAGAATTTGCAAGTATCTGGGACTCAATCTTGTTTGGATTATGGTCTCATCAGATGTGAGAAAAGGTGTTGAAAAATGTTTTCCATGGGTTGGAGCCATATTGGCAGGATATTGCTTTAGGAATTGTTTTACCCCAAAGTTTTTTGGTAGGATAAATGCTCATTTCTTTCCCAAATCTACACTTCAAAGCAACATTCCTATGACCTGACACAATTCAACTCCTTCAAAGTATAATTCTCAACTTCTTCCACTGAATCCATATTCATAGAAAATAATAGCATATGACCTTTTAAGTCTATATTAACATACACTGTTCAGTGGTCTTACTAGTTGTGTCAGAGTTGGAATTTTGTTTTTACTTATGAATATCTATTTTTATTTGATTTTTAAAATCTTGTCTCCTTAATAGAATTATAAAAATGGAGGAAGACACATCAGAGAGGCTTGTAATGATCCTAAAAGACATGCCAAGGATAATTGCAGCCCTCACACTGGTACAAAACAATGTGACTCAAATATATACACAACACACACAAAGTCAGGTGATACTGGGAAATATAGACCATTCAAGATACAAAAACAAATAGATTCTAAATTCTGTTTAGAATTTGATGACTCTAAAACATCTACATCTGGATTACTGTTTAAAGAATAAAAACTAGGTTGAGGACAAGTTAAAAATCCCTCAACAGTGACAAGTGATTCTTTCAGGTGGTAATAAGATCATATTCTGGGCACCAGGCCCAATATTCAATTTATAGCAAAACCATGGCCATTTGTGCATGAAGTAAACTCTTTGGACCAAGCTATGTTATTTAGGTCTAAAACGTTCTGGCATGACGTAATACATTTGATTTCTTTGAAGATGAAGAGGTTTCTAAAATAGAACCTTTTGTTCCCATTGCCCTACACACATTTTGCTCATCCTTCAACCTTTTCCACCATCATCCACCCAGTGGCTTAGTTCAGAAATCTAGAAAGCAGCGTGATTCCTCTTTTTCTCATATAACATTTAATTCATGAGCAAACCTGCTAATGTTGATTCCAGAAGAGAATGAGGATAAAACTTGTGCCTGCTGTTCTGACCAAACCTATACTTTCCGTAGTTACTTTGAGGTGATCTAAGCTTTTCTGTTTTTTGGTTTTTTTAGTAGTAGTCTCTTCCCATATTCATCTCATAAGAGAGACTGAGGGGGGATTACCAAACTCTCTATCTCAACTCCCTAGAGAAAGGCACACTGGAGCTCTCAAAAATGCATTATTTCCAACATCAACCAGTCCCAGGAAAGCTGGTTTTGCAGTTGGCATGGAGTCCTGAGCAACAAGAAAATCAGATTAATGAATGATTTCCATAGAGCATTATTAAGATCACCACAAAGTCCATTAACTTTGTTTTTTTTACCTTCCATACATTGTCTGTTGACATGGAAACAGCTTTGCTAAGCTGCCTATGAAAATAATTTAATGATTGGTGAATCTTCTAGCTAAATGTTAGCTAATAAACATTAAAACTGTGTGCTTCTTGGGCTTCCCTGGTGGTGCAGTGGTTGAGAGTCCTTCTGCTAATGCAGGAAACATGGGTTCGTTCCCTGGTCTGGGAAGATCCCACATACCGTGGACTGGCTGGGCCGGTGAGCCATTGCCGCTGAGTCTGCGCGTCCGGAGCCTGCGCTCCGCAATGGGAGAGGCCCGCGTACCGCAAAAAACTGTGGGCTTTCTTTATTTCAAAAAAAACTCACTTTTTTTCCCTAGGGGATTAAAACTCATGCCTGCCTATCATGTAGGAAAAGGCTGCATCCATATTCACCACCTCTTTCAGTCACATATTTACTTGTATATAACTGCAATTTTGTGCTTCCTTCCTAGAAAGAAATTCACAGTCATAAGGAATGAGGGCAAGATTATAGCTATGAGAATGATGAGTCATTAAATGTTCTTGGAGAATTTTATTAAAGTGGCAAGGACATTTTAAATGTACATTTTCTAGCAGATTGGTTACCTGGTTTGTTTTTTTACAGGTATGCGTCCTTGTTGGTAAATACAGCATATTTAGTGTCACAGATGGTACCTTACTAAGTACATCTTTGATGAAGTGAGATGCCTCCATACAAAGAAAAATGTTGCCAATTAACATTGCCTTGTATATAATCAGGCTATGAAAGCACATGGGAGTGTCATTAGAACCTTAAAATAATTTTATTGTTTAATTACCCAAATAATACTCTTTCACTGTAGAAAGGTAGAAAATATAAATTAAAAAAAGAAGTTAAAAATAATCTACAGTTTACCACCCAGAACTGAGCATCTAAGCATTTGGAGATACATGTTCATATTGACTGTGTGCTTATCTGCCTTCCTCCTTTCCAGTATATTATCCACTTATCTGTTAAGCTCTATTCTTATGTGTATATAGATACATATTTAAAGCTAAAATAGGCTCATGCTGTACATATTATTTTGTAAACTGCTTTCCACACTGCAGACATTTTCATTCAGACTGCTAAATTAGAGAGGACCTTGTGGTTTCCATGTCTGCTTTCCAGTGCCTTAGTGAAGCCTGAGGTAAAAGGAAAAATGTGCAATTCTGTATACACTTATTAAAATATCATTCTGTATTTTGAACCAAATGGGAAGTTTAATAAAAGCTCTACAATAAAAAAACATAACTATATAGAAAGCTCCACATTGCCCAATCAGTTGGCACACCATCGTCAGCCCTCACAAACCCGTCTGCTGGTGGACTTGGGCTGTGTTGCCTGGCCAGGGAGCTGAGGGTTGATGGGGAAAGAATGGTGCCATTGTGCAATAATATAGGGTCATGAGACAAAGAACAAACAAAAATTTTTATTTGAAATTTTAATATTCCATTTATCATAGATATTTTTACATTAATTTTGATTTTTAAAATATTGCATTAAATATTATTTATCTTGATCACTCATTTTTTGATATACCTCACTACCGTCACCCTACCCCTGGCCCTGCTACTCCCAAAGGAAATGCTAGAATTGTGTTCTCTAGATAAACATTTTCTAATGATGGTTGGGCAGCTGAGATTATGTGAGGTCTTGGTGATACCCAGGGACTGTAAGGCTTGAGAGTGTGTTGGCCCATCAGGACCTGAGAATTAAATGTCTAATATTCCCAAAAGTTTCCTTGCTTTTGACAGATATAGACACCATGGAGTGGTTCCAAGTTGGTCAGGGCTGGGACGAACTGAAGAATTCATGACCTGGGCTTCCCTGGTGGCGCAGTGGTTGAGAATCCGCCTGCCAATGAAGGGGACACGGGTTCGATTCCTGGTCCGGGAAGATCCCACATGCCACGGAGCAACTAAGCCTGTGCGCCACAACTACTGAGCCTACACTCCAGAGCCCATGAGCCACAACTGCTGAAACCCCTGCACCTAGAACCCGTGCTCCGCAACAAGAAGCTGCCGCACTGAGAAGCAATGAAGAGTAGCCCCCGCTCCCTTCAACTAGAGAAAGCCCGCGCGCAGC